TTTGATTTTCTAGAGAGAAAACCTTGAAACTGTTGAAATATTCTCAAGAAGTTTGCTCGAGTCTTATGGTTGCGCTTTTTTATTGGGAAATTACTTCGTACTGCTCACTGACATCCTTGATTTTCGAACGCTGAAGCTTTTGAGGGAAGTGTTTGTGCTCACGGAGTTACTTCACATGGAAATGGTCTGAGCGTGTCTGTCACCATTTTACCTCGGCAGAGCATTGACATTTTTCGTACAGGTAATGAAATGATGGGTAATGATAATGTGGACGAAGTGTCGGAATGGTGGAATACAACTCTCAACGAGAGAGCCTTGGTGGCATCCAATTGTCAAATCCATCGTGACATCAGGACCAGTGAGTTCACCTTAACCCTCTGTTCTTCTCTTTTTCTTTGAGATGTAACCGATCTGTTCAGTATCTACTCCAAGGAGTTGATGTGGATATAAGGTGCTAAGACATTCCACGACGTCACACGACGTTTGATGACGTGTCATTGACGTAGAAGGGGGAGGAGCCTCGGCTGGTCCTAGTCCTTCCAACACACAAAACCGTGGATGCTTTGTACATAAATAGTAATGTAATTAGTGGCGCGGAAAAAGTGTTTTGTAAGCAGGGCAGGTCATGTGCTGGGAGACCCCCAGCGAGGGTCGCATTTGGTGGTCCTTGCAGGGAAACAGGTCGTTTTGCTCGTCAACTTGCTGAATTTTCGAGGTTCAGTACCTTAGTCCCCTCCCTCCTTTCGCTCGAGACCGGTTTCTGAAAAGTGGGGATTTCTTGGAAAAAAAAGTCCAGAAAAGTGGTAGTTGGGGTGTCAGTGAGATGGTAGGTGGGACGTAGGATGGGGATCACTAGAGGAGGAAGTTTATGGGGTGGGGGGGGAGGGAGGGGGCGAGTCATTTCGCAAAAATTTTCTCCAATGAACGTATTGACCATCCATATGAACCGTAAATCGACTTCGTGAACAGTTTCTTGCGGATGATAGGACTGATATCCAAGCTTTGTATTATTCACAAGTATTGGCTGAGCAAAGGGGTATGTGGCAAGAGAATCGTAGTTCGTCGCGCCACTGGGCGTCGCGTGCGACGTCGCGCCTCGCTAATGACGACGATTTCAGGTGGTATTGGTCGAGAATAGACAATGTATGACCAAAAATAGACATAAGTGTCTACCATGTCCTTGTCTACATGAAATCCGATGCTCCAAGTCGAAAGGGCAGTGCAAATTAAGGAAATCGCGTCCATTGTCGCGCGCGACGAAGATAATTTCACGATTCTCTTGCTCGTCTCCCGAGAAATTCGAGGTCTACTTTTATTCGACTTATTTCATGTAAACGTAAACTGGTTCTCATTTTATGTTCCACGTCATGTGGCTTTCGTTATGGATGGAAATCGACGATTTGCCAAAACTCACCAACTTGGTCACGTCATTCACGGCCATGAAAAAGGATTCCATCAACTTGCAAAGGTTCGCCCATTTTCACCTTCTCTTATGTGTGATTTCTGACAATTGCTCCGGTTTCTATTAATTATGCGCTTATAGATTTTGGAATGGTGTCATGAATTGGGTGTACGGGAGGTGACTGTCTACGCGTTTAGTATCGAAAACTTCAAACGTAGCACAGAAGAGGTGGACGGTCTGATGAGGCTTGCCGAGGAGAAATTTGCGAAGCTCTTGGCTGAGAAGTACGTTTCAGATTTTTACTGTTGGATTTAATTTTTATATAGTACATAACATTAACATAACGTAACATTGGCTGTGACCTTCAAAGAGTATTATATTTAGGGATAAACTCGTGGAGAAGAGAATATCATTCCGATTCTTTGGTAATATCGCTATGTTGCCCCCAAAATTACGTAAATATATAGCACAGATCCAGCTTTTGACAAAGGATTATGACAGGTAAAGTAAACTGCACCCTGCGTTTGAACATCTTGCACATTACAGAAGGGTATCACAAAAAAACGGGAGAGCACGCAGAGGCCGGCTCCTTTAACTCACTGCACCTTTCGCAGGGATGCCTATCCCGTTCCCCGACAAGTTCGGCTTTACAGAGCACAGTCAGGCACGGTGGGCCTTCCTATTCTCGCCCTTTAAAGCCTTGTTCGTTGCGGATAAAAGGTTGTGTCAAGCAGGATGGGTTTGTCGCGACGCCAAACCCGTTTTCGACCATTTGTTAAATCAAGCAAGAACAAGACTGTATCATTTCGTTCGTATCAGTCGTTTTCCACCAAGTGTTGTCGCTTATTCGCTTCAACAATTGGTGGAAAACGGGTACGGTGCCGAGCCAAACCCATCTCACCTAACACGCACATTCATCCGCAGCAAACAAGACTGCAAGTCTCCTGACAGCCTAATAACATTTTACTGCTGTCTGTTATAAACCTTTGTATCGTAACCGGACCCTGTACGGTTGAAGACATTCCTGACACAGCAAGTCCCGCCTTTGGGAAAAATTCTTGCAAAACACGACCCTCCCCTCCTCCTCGAAATTTCTTCCTCTGTACCCTCCCCATCTCCCATCCTACCTAGCACCCCCTGAAGTCTCCACAATTTCCTACCCCTCTTCCCTGTTTTCCCCTTCTCCGAAACCCGTATGCAGCATGCGAAAACGGCGACCGAGAAATCAGGCCAGCAACTGGAAACATTTTTCACGAAGGAAAACACGACCCCTCCCCACAGTGTATAAATACAACTCTCTCTCCCCTTGCTGGATATCTCCAATGTACGCCGCATCTTGATTCCTGACTAGATTCTTTTCAGCGGAGTGGTGAACGTATGCATGCCGTATACTTCGAGAGATGAAATTGCGCGTGCTTTCGAGATTATCAGGAAAGGAAGGGAGAAGGTATGTCTATTTAAGGTAATCGGTTTTCTCCTTTGATTGATGTTTGATTCTGCCGTAAACCTGACTGCTTTATTCATTCAATGAGCAAGGGTATGTTCAAATATGTGCTACAGTAAGCCCACACAATGTTGCACTTAATGTCAGCTTTTCAGGGACTCATTGGTGAGAATCAGATATCTGAATGGCTGGTTTCCCGTTGCTTGGATAGTAGACATGGTACTGAACCCAACCTGCTTATTCGTACGAGTGGAGAGAAAAGATTGAGTGATTTCCTTCTTTGGCAGGTGAGATGAAGCTTCTTTCTTGTTTTAGAGTTTTTCCTAAATCTTTCTTCTAATAGCCAGATAGCTATTTTCAGTGCTCTTCTTGTCATATATACTTCGATGATGTCCTCTGGCCAGAGTTCAGCTTCTGGAATCTTTGTAAGGCGATCCTTTCCTATCAATATCATATCAGCTCCGTACAGGTACTATACCCACGTTTCCTTCTTTACTGATATCTCTGGTAACCCTTTCAAGGAGATCCGAAAATGTCAGAAGGCAGCGGACCCTTCTGAAGAAGAAATTCTCACCCTGCAGCCTTTCCTTGAATACGTTGATGCTGCTCAAGAAGAATTGTTACATGAGTTTGCAGCGTATACAGAATAGATGTTTTTGGCAAAATGCCACAAAAATTTTTGACAGATGATAGTTGATAGTTCCGCCGTTGTTC